GATGTATTTCTTCCATTTCGTATTGTTTCGAGAATCCTTTTTATATTACCGATGTAATGCATTTTTATGATTGATTGAGTTAACAAGTCCCAATGTAATCCACTTTTTCCTTTTGTTTTCTTCTCTTCGTATCCTCTTACTCCGCGTATTCTGTTTAATCATTATTTTGAGAGTTTCTGTTAAATAATTAGCCTGTTCATTGGTAGTTTGTAGATTAGTGTAGAAAGACCAGTCATGTTCTTTAATATTTTGTTTAACCAGTTCATATTGTACGTAATGTTTTACTCTAGTTAATTTGGATGTTGACATCATTTCTTCGTTTGGAACTATTAGTAAGGTACTCTTATGATCTGTTATGCACGTATCATAAATTGCAGCGGTACATGCATCGTGTATATATTTGCGCGCTCTCAAAAATATATGGTCTATGCATGTCTTTGACTCTTTTTGTATTCTGATATTTTTGTTTATCATAGAGATGAAGTTATATTCACTCATGTGGTTTAAGTAATCAGAAACTACGTCTATATCTTTGTTGATATCTAAATTCATATCCCCAATAATAATATGATTATCTATTATGATTCTTTGTTTCTTCTAGATATTCTTGGAGTTTGGTGACAAAGTCTTCTGCCTTTGTAGAAGGAGATCTATACAGTGCAGTAATAAGAATTGGATGATGCTCTATATTCAGCTCAGTTTGTATTGTTCTGCACTCAGCGATACTTATCACAGTGTGATTATATTTAATATCATCCTTCACATACATGATAACTCCATCATTTTTGTTGAGTTCTCCTCCACTATAGATCATCTGATAACCATCTAGATTGTATAGATCTTCACACTCAGAAATATTGAATGTTTCCGATAAAATAATCACGTCTAAATCGTTATTTAGTTGACTCAAAAATACTTTGAGTTCATCTATATTTTTTCTAATACTCCTTATATTCTGATGGAATGTTTTAAGGATTCTGTTATAGTCTATGTCAGTTATAATATTGTTGAGTTCTATAATATCATCAAAGTGTTTACTGGTTCATGATTACAATATCTCATAAGTTCTTCCATATTTCTGAACAAGTTATAGATAGAAAGAGTTCTGCAAAGATAGGAATTGGAAATATGTGTAACCTACTTTTTTACGAGATAGCCTACTAAATAACCTCTACCTAATAATATATACACATTCACATATGTTGGAGTGCAATTCTCAATTGTATGTTTTTCTGTTGTTCTATGATATGATTCGAGATGTATGTTGTTGTTAAGTTAATAGTGAAAAATGTAATACGGTAGAAGAACTATACGTGAATAAATATCTTCAAAATATAAAGTAATCATTATTACAAGAAGGAATAGTGAATGCTAAAACTCTGCATTTAACAGGTTATGTGCCCAGATCGTGATATATCTGAGCGGAATTAACTGGAAGTTATTTGGCACGCAGACATTTGAGAAGTTTATCTCTGGAAGTAACTGGAAATAGAAAAAGCATGGCGACACTGAATCTGAATACACAGGTGGCAAATCTTAAACAATTTGATGGAACCGGATTTTCAAATTGTGAGTTTCGTCTGAAACTATTCTTGGAACAAAGTGATACATTGAAAGTATTGGAAGAAGATACTCCAAGGGACCAAGAAGAACTAGTGCAATTCAGAAAGAAAGATGCAAAGGCTAGGAACATTATCGTACAGTGGCTAGCTGATAATATCTTGGAAATAGTAAAAAATAAAAAAACAGCTAAGGAAATGTATGAAACATTGAAAAACACTTATACTCGTAGGGATTGTTGACTCAGGAGCAACAAACCATCTGGTAAACAAACAAGCAGATAATTTTTTATGTGACATAAAATCTGTTAATTATAATGTTAATGTTGACAAGAAAGGTTCTGGGATCAAGGTTTTCAAGTGTGGAAATTTGCATGTAGAAGACACTGAAGGAAGAAATTTCAAAATGAAAGATGTATTCCAAAGTGACGATTTGGACTATAATCTACTATCGGTAAAACGAATAGAAAACGAAGGATTCAAAGTAATCTTCGAAAATGGAAAAGTTAAAATATGTGAAAAAGAGAATAATAAAACACTTTTGGAGGGCAGTCTTAGAGGAAATCTATATGTTATTTGTTTTAGACCAAGACTTTTTAGTGCCAATATAGTAGAAAATCAGGACTTGATGCATAGACGAATGGGCCATTCATCTAAATATCCATCAAAAAACTTATGCGAAGTTTGTTTGAAAGCAAAACAGTCACGTGTGAGATTCAAACCCCTACCTGATGAAAGGAAAGCACGGAGAGCTCTAGAAATATTCTCAACAGATGTGTCAGGACCCATCACACCTTCAACAAGAGATGGCAAGAAATATTATGTAAGTTTCTTAGACCATTTCACACATTTTGCATATGTATATCTCCTAACGAATAAATCGGAAGTCATGGAAAAATTCAAAGAGTTATGAAGCATTAGTTTGTGCTAAATTCAATTCAAAAATATCAAGAATACGTTGCGATGATGGAGGAGAGTATAGCTCTAAAGAATTTCAAATGTTTTGTAAGAAGAAAGGTATACAGATTGAATATACAATACCAAGGAATCCAGAACAAAAAGGAATTGCTGAAAGATTCAACAGAACGATCCTAGAAAAATCAAGATGTTTGATATTTGATTCAAATCTGGAAAAACATTTTTGGGGTGACGCTCTGTGTGCAGCAGTCTATCTACATAATCAACTGGAAGCAGCAGCGATTCCCAAAAACTCTACTCCAGCCAAACTGTGACATGGATATGAACCAGATATAAATAAAATTGAAGTTTTTGGTTGTGTGGCATATGTACATGTACCAAAAGAAAATCGTACAGGAAAATTAGATTCACATTCACTCAAAACGATATTCATCGGTTACTGCAATAATGGATGCAAACTGTAAACAGTAGTGTTATCAAGATCCGTTATTTTTTGTGAAAACAGAAATATAAAAGATGTAATAAACCCAGAAGTACAACCATTACTAACTGAGGAAGACAATAAAGATGAAGAAAGAAATGAAGAGGATGTTGGTGTTATTCGCTCTGATAATAATATCAAGGAGGATAGTATGAACGTTCGTAGAAGTCAAAGAAACAAAAAATTGCCAAAACATTTACTGGATTATGATTTGAATGGAGATATGGAATTATTGGCAGCCCTATCAGCTGGTAACCTACCCCATGAAATTCCCAAAAGTTATGACGAAGCCCTGAATATGCAAAATGGATAGTATATAGCGATAACCAAAGAATTGAAATCATTGGAACAAAATCAAACCTGGAAAATGATATCACCACCTAGCCACACAAATGTTATAGACTCTAAGTGGTTGATGGAAAAGTGAAGAAGAAGGCCAGATTGGTAGCCAGGGGCTATCAGCAACCATCGTTAGAAGAGGAAGTATATGCACCAGTAACAAGAATGGTGACATTGAGAGTTTTACTTGCTCTAGCAGTAGAAAATGATCTGAATATCCACCAATTAGATGTAAGATCAGCTTTTTTGAAAAGTAACCTGAATGAGATAGTCTATATGAAACCACCTGACGGTTTAACTAATTACGAACCAGGTCAGGTATGTGAATTGAAAAAGGCAATGTATATGGTCTTAGACAAAGTCCTAAATGTTGGAATAACTGTATAAATAATTTTTTATTGGATTTACATTTTATTCGTTCTAAATCTGATCCATGTCTTTATTACACAGGATATATTTTTTTACTTATTTGGGTAGATGATATAATTATTTTGTCAAAGTCAAGGGATGAAGTGCATCAAATAATAAATAAATTTCATTTTATTAAAGATCTGGTTGACCAGAATAAAATTCAAATAGAATATATTTCTACAGATGAACAAGTTGCAGACATTTTTACAAAAGCTCTAAGTGCTAATAAATTTGTCTTATTTCGAAAAGCACTCAATATGACATAACCCATATTCGAACTTGACTTTGTTTATTTGAAATAGTTTTAATTTACATACTTTGAAGATTGTAGAATTGGGAGAAAGTGTTGGAGTGCAATTCTATGTCAATTGTCTGTTTTTCTGTTGTTCTATGATATGATTCGAGATGTATGTTGTTTTAAGTTAATCGTGAAAAATGTAATATGGTAGAAGAACTATACGTGAATAAATATCTTCAAAATATAAAGTAATCATTATTACAAGAAGGAATAGTGGAATGCTAAAACTCTGCATTTAACAACATACACTTATAAATTATTCAACATTCATATATCCGAGTACAATATTAGTAAAGGTGAAAGTAACAACAAGTGAGAACTTAATCGCAAGTGCTGTCCTGTTATTTGTTACCTGAGCGAGTTCTGGGTTTATCTTGTATTATTTTCTGAACTAGTTTTTTAGTTGTCGTGGTCTTTGATGTTCTTGGATCTTCTTTATATTCAGGAAAAACTTTTGTTGTGGTGTCAGATGTAGAAGTAGATGGAGCACTGCTGAGTTTGATGTCAACGTTGTCCTCCTTTTCCAGATCTTCAATACCATAAGTGGCCCCGTCAACATAGAGTTTGTTTCCTTTTATGTAGCAGTATTTATATTTTCCTTCTTGCTTGACCAGGAAAAGATGTTTTCTGAGTAATTTACCTTCTTCTTTACCTTCTTTCTTTTCACTTCTTTGTTGATGGGTTAGATCTTGGGAAATTGATATACTCTTTCCTTTCAATTTGTTGCATCATAAATTCAATTTGGATGAATTTTTTGAGTATCTGGGATATGACCATTAGTTGTCTAGATATAGGTTATGTCGTTGGTTCAGCCTAGCACCATTGATCAGATCTGGCGAGTGTACTAAACAGCGTTGGCTGGTGTTGAATAACAAATTGATTTTTTTTATAGTTGTTGATAATCCATCATGACTTGAATCAATTGTATTATTCTTGATAATCAATTATAATTGTAGTCATGTGACTTTCCAGTTCTGATCTGACATCTGATCAAAAATTGATCCATATTTTTTACTGTCAAATGCATAAAATCTTTAGTATCATGTAATAATGCAATACGTTTACCCCGCTTCAATATTTAATTTGACGGTAATTTTGAAGACGACAAATAAAAATTAAAACATTTTATTTTGAAAGAGATTTCATAATCTACGGATCATAAAAATATTATCTCTTGTGAGAAAAATAGGATTTTTACTTATGATCGCTATAAAAAAAAACATAATTTGTAGACAAATGAGCTATATTCAAGTGAAGGTTCAGTGTCGAAAAAAAAACACCTATTCTACCATTGCTCCATCTCCATGCCAGCGTCACAATCAAATGTCATAGTCGAACGTCAGATGTGTTGAATGGCCTGTATCTGTTCTCTCAGTTACTCAGTTCTCTGATCTGTTAATCTGTAATATGATTATTAAGTATGACGATGGGAAGTAATCAATGAATGTGTTTTAGATATTCGGTTCTCAGTTAAATTATTCGAATGAGTATGTGAAAAAGTTAATACATAGGAGGAAAGGTATACCGAGACAAAATAAGAATGTCCTTGAAAATGGTATTATTGTTTTAGAAGAAAATTGGCTGTAAAGCTGAAGAAAATTCTATCAAAATGAGCAGTTCTCATGGACTTTCCAAGTTGAAAAAGAAACATTTTCGTGTGAAACATCAAAAAGTAAAACTGTTTAGAGCGAATGAACCGTTTTTATCAGTATTTATGTGGGGAATTAATCACACAGTGAGTAACACTTTATTCAAATTAATCATCAATTATTAACATTTGTTTTTGCAGATTAATGAACTCATGCATGTCACCATCCCTGTTATGCTTCTGCCAGACGATTTTAGAGCATATTCGAAAATAAAAATCGACAATCATCTCTTCAATAAGTAAGCATAAATTAGCACATTATTTCATCATTATCTTCTAATATTATTATTCAATCTTAGAGAAAATATGCCTTCACATTTCAAAGTCAAAGAATATTGCCCAATGGTATTCAGAAATATCAGAGAAAGATTTGGAATTGATGATCTTGATTACAAAGAGTCATTAACAAGGTAAGAGGTTTTTGTTTTGAAAGAAACTGTTTATTTCTCACTTTGCCATTGATGACCAAAAAGGAAAGAAGTGATGTTTGGTTTATAAGCCACTCTATTTCCACATAATAAGTGAATATATAGTGGTTTTCAAAGGGTTCTTCCCATGCAAGTATCAATTACTTCAGACTAATACATTGTAAACATTAATATACAAATATGGAACTACTGAAGAAAGGCCTAAGAAGTGATTATTCTGTATTAACTCTATATACACAGTCAACTTTTCATTTTTAGAAACTTAATAAAAATGAACATTCAGATTCCACATGCTTTTTTCATTCAGTCTTGCCATTATTCATATCCTAAATATTTTGTGAAATTTATTGAACTTAAAAATAATTTCTGTGTAGAAAGTAATCAAAGCGTAATTGTTCAGGTACATAATTTAACACATTTTGGGTCCTTGATATGATGAAAATTCAGAAAAAATATTCAAGATTCGAAATATCGGAATCTGTGAACTGTTGAACAGACTTGGCAGATCATAAATCAATAATTGTATATTTGGTGTCAAAGAAAAGGAGGGCTGGAATGGAAAAATTCTTAACCTTGAGAGATACAAAGTCAATTAAATTAGGAACCGAAATTCAACAAATTCATTTGTTATTTATTTTTTGCAGTTTATGACCCAACTGTGTTGTAAGCAAGGAATTATTTTCACGGAAGGTTAGATTGGGTCATTATGATCACAAAGTTCTCTTACAATTTTATGCATAATGAAGCAATTTTATATTTCAGATTTTCTGCAACACATATCAATTATATACTTGTGATGCACTGTTTGGAACCTTTGGTTTAGTAATGGATATTACTGTAGTTTTATCCCAGCACCAAATCGTTATTTTAACACCTCTATACGTGTTTTGATCACCAAGTGATCATCTTCAAGAGAAAGAATAATCTTTCTGGCAATATGGAAGTGCAATTTATTTTCAAGTCCTTCTAAAAATAAAGTGAGAAAAAAATAAAAACCATTTTCCGAAATTTCAGTTTTTTTCGGATATCTCCGAATATACCTGGAATTTCAGAACTTTCTCGACGGCATATTTTTAGTCAGGTAAATGCGCAACTTTATCCCAATTTAACCATGTTCGTATCTCTCACAGTTTCCGAGATCCCAATGGTGACGATCGAATTTGAAACACCCTGAATATCCAAGAGATTATGTCTTGAAAAATTTGATTTCATTGTTAGGAAAGCAAACTACATTTTTTTCAGAGAAGTAGTAGTAGTATCTTTATTCATCATTAAAGCAATCTACAGATCTTTGCAGTTGAACACATAAAATGCTTATCAGACTAGTCAAATATGGATTTAGTGTCATCGACATACATCAAAAAATATATCAACAATATAATATCTTTTGTTTATGCCATCAAAAATATATTGGATCTTATCAGTTGATGCTGTTTCAATTGAAAATTTTTTCCTAAATCCGTGTTGGTAAGAACTTATCAAATTATTTGGTTTCAAAAAACTTACTGTTCTGTTGTAAATTGCTTTTTCCATAATTTTTGAGATAGGGCTCAGAATACATATGCTACGATAATTTTCCATAGCTGTGGGATCTCCTTTTTTACAAACTGATATTTTAAGTTGTTTTGCAAGAATACCCTCTACTGATTTATTGATCAGGGTAGTTAAGTTTTTTGCCAAGTTAGCACAAATTTCAAATACTTTCATAGGAATATCGTCAACACCTGCTGTCGTTTTGTTTCCAAACTCATTAATTGATTCCGAGGTATAGTTTCCCATTGTGTTCTTTTGTTAGTCCTTGTCATCGATGCAGTCTAAATTTAATTTTTATTTCCCTCGTTTTTTCTTTAGTTTTTCCCATTTTTTCATTAACCAACGCCCAAAAGAATTTTTTGTTTGTTTGATGAATTCAGTATTTTTTGGGTACGAAAATATTGCTTTTCTAGGACAATATTAATTTATATTTCTCACAAATATTGTCGTTCCTTCATGTTTAATACTGTTCTGCAGTGTTTACTAACGTTAATGAATCCCGAGATGTTAACTTGCTCTAATTGATCACTGTTCATCCAGTACTCACAAATACAAAGGAGTTTCACCTTATTTCGATCACATATAATTTCCAACAAGTTGATTTTACTCCCTGAACTTTGTATGTTGAGGTATAATAAAACATTTTTGACAGACGCCATATCATTGTTACTAGTGAAAATTTGCTGAATTTCCTAATCGTCATTTTCTTCTAGTTTTTTACATTGGTAGTCTCGAGAAGTGGTAGTATTATAGCGAAAAATATACCTATTCACCAGAACACCCGAAAGCCATATCTCAGGTTTATAAACTTCCTTAACAAAAAATCCTGGGAACTTTACTAACAAAGAACAGTTTCCATTATTTTTGTTCAGTATTTCACATCTAAACGGGATATGGGAAGCTGTTAATTTCAAACTGCCTTCAAGTTCATTGGGAGTGGTTTCTTCTGCTAAACTGTACATACCCTTGTTTAGTTACTGTCCTCACCTAACATAATTAGCAAAAAGTAATTTCTGTGTTAGTTACATTCTTCATACTTCGTGTATTCAGTCCAACCATAATTTATGACCTGAATATTTTGCGAAACTCATGAAATTGATTTCACTTGCGATTATTACCTGTACCCACACCAAAACAGTAAAAATTGTCTCTTGACACTCAATTCGCTAACCAAGTTAGGATCATCAGGAAATGATTAAGACTAATTTCTACATCATCACCTAAGGACGATTGTGGATGCTAACAATCGAAACTTGGCTTGAAATCATTTCGTTTTTGATTTTTATTTAATTTCAATTGTTCAGTTTTCTATTTTTTGCTCTTTTTTTATTTTATTGTAATTTCTTGTTTAGGGTTTATTTTGCTTAATATAATTGTTATTTTCAGCTGTTTTTAATTTTAATTTTCATTTAGGAATCACACGTTAAAAGGTAAGACCTCGTTAGTCCTTAGCTCGCACAAGTTTCTCAATTTCTGAAAGTTGTCGTTCGTATGGGGGCGACAGCTGATTAATGGAAAAACAGATTTTTTTTTTAACAGATTTGTTATTTCAGAGATTTTGAATCATAACATTTTAGACAATGGAAGTTCGAACTAACGAAATTCCTACACCTATGTTACTGTTTTTATATGCATCTAGACTCTAGACGAATCATTACTTTACATAATGAGAGCCAATAAATTAATTCATAATATTTTGTTTTTGTTATTGTTCCTAATGTTTGCAACCTCATTGATACATAATCTGCATGTGTGTCATACCTGTAATTACATACATAAATCTCATTCCACATTTTTTGGTTCTTTAAGTTTCGAAAACATCAAAAAAATTTGTTGTCATGTATCGGTCTCAATAATTTGAGGCATTCCTCACTTATTTTGTGGCATTTCTCTCAGCAAATTTTATTGGTACCAGACTTTTCCTTTTCTGCATTCTATCTTTCAGGTTGCCTAAATATTTTTGAACGGTTTTTCAAAAATTTGAACCAACCCGTTGATGTAATTTGCTTTGTATGGAAGAACTGTAGATTTTGAGTCTTTGTCTTTCTGAAATGTCGAGGATTTACGAAGAAACTCTCAATTTTATCCTACTAATTAACTTATCCACTTAGTTTGAAGGATACCCATTATTTTCAGCTACCTTCTCGATAACTTTCTTCTCGATATCATGTTTTTTGTTCAAGGAGAACGTGACAAGAAAATTGACAAGAAAATTTAGTCTCTCCATTTTTTGTTGTGGACAATGGTGGTAGCTGTCAGAGATATATCTGACAGTGCTAGTATTCTTCTATATATCGTTACGTTTTTACCCATTGGTTGACCAATAATTGACTACACTGAATAATCAAATTTAACTTTATTTCACTTTAAATACAACAAACACTTGAACCAAAAATTCAACTATTATTTGAATGTCTACCGCCTTACTAGATCACTTCGTGTATCGCACTGTATCTTTCACTTCACTGTGTACTCAACTGTCTGAATACTCTTGCAGTCAGCGTTTAAATATCGCAATGGAACATCGTAGAATTTTCTTCGAAGTTCTTTGCTGCTTCTCGAACGACAGTGGCTGCCGGCTTCATTTCCTTTCGGGCATGATTCACAACACTACCCCCTTCCCTGAGGTTCGCCCCGAACAACAGTCTAAGAAGGGACATCACGACCCATGTAAGGACTCAGCTTCTCTAAGTGGACAATTTTAGGCTTGCCTCTGGGTGACAGTTGGATTCTGTACACCAGATCGTTTTCTTTTGGTTACCAAGTAAGGTCCTTGCCATGGTCTCTGCAACTTGGGACACAAACCTTTCCGACGTTGGGGTTGGTAGAGCCATACTGCATCTCCCTCTTTGAAGCTCACTGGCAGCGACTTTTTGTCGAATCTTATCTTCATCCTGTCGCTGGAAAGCTGTAATTTGGTCCTGGCAAATTCGTGTACAATTTCCAGTCTCTCCTTCATCTTTCCTCTCCGATGTTGAATTTCAAAATAGTAAGTTTGTAATTTTTCGATCCACCAGCTATTTGTCCTTCTGGTGTTCTGAAGTTAAAGAGCCATCGAAGCGCTGAGTGGTCTGATCCGATAAAAAATTTACGGCCATATAAAAAAGAGTGGTAGTGATCCATCGCTTTGACCACTGCAAGGTGTTCTTTTCCAGTATCGCAGTAATTTCTTTCGGACGTTCCCAGGGACTTACTAAAATAGCTGATGACGACTTTTTCTTCCTATTGTACCTGGGAAAGTACTGCTCCTATTCCATGTTGGGATGCATCCGTGTCCAGTATAAACAAGCCCTCCTCCTTTGGGTACACCAGGACCGGTGCGCTGGCCAAATGTCTCTTCAGGGCAGCAAATGCTGGCAGTCTGGATACCAAACGAAAGTGTTCTCTTTTCAGTTAAGCTATGCAGCTGTTTGGTGATTTTTCCAAAGTCGTTCGCGAAACGCCGGTAA